AGCCCCGGGACAGAGCTGCCCCCTCCCCAGCCCCACCCTCAGCCACGTGCAAAGGGAGGAGCACAGGAGGGGGCGTGGCTGTTGGGACGGCAGACCTACAAGGTGCAGTCCGACCCCTCCCCCTGCAACGCCTGTGCTCAGCAGTGGGGCCCTCCCCACCCCACACAGTCTGTATTTGATTGATTTCCTTATTGGCTGGTCCCCCGTTATAAGAATGCGAGCTCCATGAGGAAGGGTTTGTGTTAGTCTCCTACCGCTGCTATAGCAAATTCCCACAAACTTAATGGCTTAAAACAATTTGTTATCTTACAGTTCTGGAGGTCAAAAGTCTCACTGGGCTAAAATCAAGGGCAGGGCTGCGTTCCTTCCTGGAGGCTGTGGAGGCCACAACCCCTCCCTTGCCCTTTCCAGCTCCTAGAGGCCACTTCCTGCCTCCCCAAAGCCAGAAATCACATGACTCAGACTCTCCGGCCGGCCTTGTCTACCTATGGGGACCCTTGTGATTGCAGTGGGTGCACCTGGGTAATCCAAGGCCCTCTGCTTGTCCTCTGGTCGGCTGATTAGCAACCTTAATTCCACCTGCAACCTTAACGCCCCCTTGCCCTAACATGAATGTGGTCGCGGTTCCAGGGAGCAGGACAAGCGCATGTTTGGGGTGCATCATTCTGCCTACCACAGGGCTTGGTGTCTCTTGGTCCCTGCAATAGCTCCAGTGCCTAGAACCCTGCCTGGCACATAGTAGGCCCTCGTTGTTGTATGAATTAGTGAATGAATATGTGAATTAATCATTATGCATAGTATTTACCATCATAGCAAAGTTATCATGCTTAAGTGCCAGGCACTGTTCAAAGTGCTTTACGTAGATTAACTATTTAATCCCCAACAGTTCTATTTGGTATATTTTCTTATCATCTGCCTTCTACAGATGAGGAAATTAAGGCACAGATGAGTAGCTTGCCCAAGGCCACACAGCTAATGAATGTGGAGCTGGGGTTCGATCTCACACTTACTGCACCCACCTATTGTGTCTGGCCCCAGCTGAGCATGGTGCATTTCTGACCTCATTTCATCCTCAGAGAGGCCATGAGGGAGGTGGGTGGAGTATGGGTCTCAACAGCCCAAGAATGAAGTCCCTGGTGTAAGGCTGGTGGCAGGGGCCCCCTCCCCTCCCTAGATGGAAAAAGAAAACGCTTAGTGACCTGACCTGCCAAGGACAAACTGCCAGGCCCCACTGAGAGGAACCACACCCAGATCTCCACCTGGATTCGCTCCTGGATTCCACAATACCTCCAGCCCCTCCTATTTCTCAACGACCTTCCAAGGTCACAATAGAGAATCCCAGCTCTTCCCGCCACAAGTCCCTAGCCCTGCCCAAAGGGTATAAAAGGCCTCAGCCCCTTCAAACTGCCACGACTTCCGGGCCTCCCGCTCTTGGGGCCCCAGAACCTCGTCCACGAGTGTATAATAAAGCCACGTGGTTTGGCCCCCCCCTACTCTTTCTCTTTCTGTGTCTCTTTTCTTTTCGCCACCGCCGAAAAACCTTACACCTGGCTCAGCTGGGAGATTCTGAGAGCGTCTGTGGCTCAGTGGGGGCAATGGGTTGTGAATTGCTTTTGAGTCTCCTTTGCTGCCAATTAGAGCAGGAGCCGGTGCACCAAGGAGACTGAAGGTGCCTGGGTTCCCACCATGGTGAAGGGCTCCCACCTCTGACCTGCTCCTTGGTTCTGCCCCCACGCCTTGCAACTAGTGCTCAGGCCCCCACAGGCAGCCAGCAGCAGGCTGTGGCCAGCACCCAGAGTGGGGACTGGCAGCTCTGCCTCCTGGAAGCCTGTCCTCCTCCAAGGACAGGAACTGGCTTCTAACCTCACCCAGAGCTCTAGTCACATTGCCCATTTCCCTGGTGATGACGGTGAGGGACCCCCAGACCCGGGCCAGCTCCACCTTGCGCACATCCTGGAGCTGCCCACTCTCTGGATGCTGGCGTCAGCCACCAGCCCCGTGACAAGTTGCCCCTCCAGAGCCCCCTAAGGCCATGAGCACACAGGCCTGTGGGAAGCCCCCAGAATGGTCCTCAGCTGCCCCCCAGCTCTGCAGGGAGGGTGCTGCTCAGGCAGGGAGCAGGTACCGCCCCTCTCCCTTGCATCTTAACCTTTGTGATCAAAGCCAAGAAAAGTGAAACTGCCAGCACAGTGGGGCATCACATTTTCTGTTCCTGCCAGCACATTTTTCTAGGTCAATGTCAGAGCAAGGAAATCCAATCCTGCATGTCCCAACGTTTTATTTTAAAACAGAGAAGTGTCACACAGCAGGTGTTGAGATAAAAAAAAAAAAAGAATAAAAATAAAAAATAAAACAGAGAAGTGGCTTTCCAAAATAGTTTACAAGCAAAGCCTGGAGAAGCCTTCGACAGAAATGGACTCAGGGCCCAGGCAGGACAGACACTTCCTGGCTTGATCACTGCAATCCCAGTGCCAGTCCCCGCTCCAGGCCTGGAATGAGAGTCTGGGCTGGGGAAGAACATGTGTGTACACACTTGCCTATTGACATGTGCCCGTACATGTGTATGCTTGCACGTTTGCACAGATGTGTGTGTCAATGTATCCTTAAGGGTCTCTGGATATGATTGGCATGAATGGTAAATTGAGGGGCTTATACATGTTTACTTGTGTTTATGTGTAAAGGCATGTGCATATGAGTGTTTGTGTGTGTGTGTGTGTGTGATTTGACACCCAGCCCTGTTTCTCAGACAGCCAGTCCTCCCTGCAGACACCACCCTCCTCCCCTCCCTGCACGCTCCAGCCTCAGCCTGAATCCTGTTCTTTTTCTTAACTGCTCTAGGTGCAGGGCTCAGATCTTGATATATTGTGACATGCATTTCCTCTTCCCTGTTTCTTCTCGGTGCCCACTCACTGCTCCCTCCCAATTCGATGTGGACTTGTTGTGCCGGCCAAGTGAGTCCAGTTTCTGGTTACTGTCTTAGGATCCAGCAATTCGAGCTCAGGCTGTGTTAACAGCTCTCTGTAAATGGTACCACGCGCCGCCTGGGAAGGCCTCCAGTCTCCCTTCTCACTGACAGTCACCCTGATCGTAGCATCTCCCACACAGCCCCTCCTGCTGTGCTGCCAGCACAACCTTCCCCAGGCCTTGCCCAGTCTCAGCTCAAGCCCCCACCTGCCTGGCGACCACCTGCCTCATCCAACTCAAGCAGCCCAGCCTGGCTTCCAAGAGCTGAGTGATTTTCTTAGCAAATGTTCCTCTTGGTTTCTCACCTCTATGAACACATGGGCAGGGCTGCCCCTCTGTGGGTTGCTCAGCCCCTCTCTGGTCACCTCTGAGGCCTGCTTTGCTCATGCTGTTCCTCTGCCCCAACACCATTCCCCCTGCCACTTCTCCCCCATTGGCTCTGCCAGTCCAACCCTACACTGCCTTCAAGACCAGTTCTAATCTCACCCCCACCATGAGGCCTTCTCAGATAAACGAACCTCCCCTCCCTCAAAATGCCTTTCCCATGGCTCCTGCCCCGAGGATGGCACGCTGCACTGGGTACTGCCTACACACTGCTGTCAGCTTGCTTCATGGACCTTATCTCATCTTCCCACCTAGACTGCAATCTCCTTCTAGGCAAGAATCAAGCCCAGTGCTCCCCTTGAATAAGCTGCAGAAACTGACACAGGTCTGGACATGGTATGGCCGGGTGATAAGGGCTTGTGGGTGAGTGCACGCAGGAAGACAAGCTGGGGTGGGGGCGGTAAGGCCACAAAACTGCATGCCGGGCTCTGTGTTTTGTGGTTCATCTGCCCTGCCTCATCTAATAATAACCATGGGGGCTGGGCAATATTATCCCCATTTCAGAGATGAGAAAACAGAAGCTAAGCGAAGTTAAGTGACTTCTCTGAGGCCACAAAAGTAGAGTCATCCCCCAGGAGGATTGGTCCAGGATATACAGGGATCCTAAAACCAACAGATGCTCAAAGTCCCACAGTCAGCGCTGGGAAGACTGAAGATACAAGATACTTTGCTTGTAAATAGCAAAGTCGGGTTTTAATCATGGGTCTGTCTGATTCCACCTCTCATAACCTTGCAACCACTACATCTGTGGAATGTAGTGTGCTAGAGAATCAAGATTTTTCTGGAATTTTAAAGCACACCCTATCCACAAGAGATCAGAGAAAGGTTGACATTACCACTGTCCAACAGGACTTTTGCTGATGGAAATGTTTATTTCTGTGCTGTCTGCTACGGTAGCCACTAGCCATGTGTGGCCACTGAGTACCTGACATGTGGCTACTACCATAACTAAGGAACTGGATTTTAAAATTTTATTTCATTTTTATGAATTTTAATTTAAATATTGTAGTGTCGATACATTTGGCTAGTGGCTACCATATTGGACAGTTCTTCCCAACCATGTTCATGTGAAGCCAACATAGAAAATGACAATAATTGTATGATAATGAGGCTGCCTCCGTGACTGGACAGTAGTGAGGGTGCTTGCTGCTGGAACCAACTGGTCCAGGGCTCCAGGGCCCCACCCAGCCTCCCTGGGGGTTAGAGGATCAGTGAATCGATAACCTCGTAACCCATTCTGGGCGCGCCAGCTCTTTATGATGGGCAAGGTTCCTGCCAGCTCCCAGCCTCTGAGCATGGAACTCCAACGTTGTTGTGATCGTGAGAAATCCCAGCATGGGAGGTGCACAAGACCTTTCCCCATCCCACATGCAGTCTGTGCCTGGCCCGGGCACCCAGCCCCGATTGGGCACGGGCATGGGGCAGCATCCCCTACCTTCATTTTCCAGGCGCCCACAGCCGGTCACTGCTGGGGAGCAGGACCCTGCTGGCTGATCTTCTTGGCAGCACTTTGGCGCCCCCTCCTGGGCATCTTGCAGATGCCAGTGCATACTAATCTGCCAGGAGGAGGCGCGGACTTGGCCCTGGGAGAGGCCTCCAGCCAAGTCACCGCAGTGGGGGCAGCTCCTTTCCGGCAGGGGAGGCGGCTCAAGCGCTGAGTTTGGAATGGGAGCATGTCTGTGGGTCCTGGCCCCCTGGGCACTCCTCACATGCTCACCGTGCCAGGCCCTGGACTTGCAGGGAGAAGCCAGACAGCGGTGCCCCTCCTAGAATTGCCCAGGAGCAGGTGAGGGGCGTGAGGTGGAGGCTGCTCTGAGGGTGGGAAGAGCGGGCCACGTGGAGAGAGGAGGAAGGAAAGGACTTTGCAGTGCAGGGGCGGCGGGAAAGCCCTGTGAGGAGGAGGGTGGCCACTGGGGAATTGAAGTGGCCCAGGTGGCCCAGGGGTGGAGACTACCTGTGGAAAGGGGTGGGGAGGTGAAGCAGCTGGGCTGAGGCTGAAGAAGTGGCAGCAGTTCCAGCTTGTCCTGGAACTTCCTTCCTGCAACCCTGCCCTGTCCAGCAGCCCCCAGGGCCAAATCGGGGGTTCTGAGCCTGGGTGCTGTCATCCATGGCCACCATGACAGACCTGGGCAGGTGGGCATGGGCTGCACGGTTCGGGGGGTGCAGGGTGGGGAGAGACCCAGCATGGGAGAGAGAGACTCACTTCAGGATCTGATGACACTCCTCTCTCTGGGCCTTAGTTTCCCCACTGGTAAACTGGCAGACTGATGGTCCCAGTCAACTCCAGCTTGACCAGGAGACAGGAAGAGAGTGAGGTGTGGAAACGTCTGTGCTTGGGGAAGTGTTCCCCTGCCCAGGGGGTGCGTGGGTGCGGGCTGTCCAGCCGGGCTGCATTGGCACACACCTATTGCATGGAGTCCTCTCCATGGGATGGTGCAGGGTCCTGGGGGTGGGGGTTAGATATGCGGCTGGGCCACTGAGGCTTGTGGGGTGGGGGTCTCTTGATGAGATTTCAGCCTTACACCATCTCTCTACAGCACAAGGGAGGCCTTCTGCCAGGGGGCTCTCGGAAAGCCCAGAGCTGTATCTCCAAAAGTCAAAGGAGCCCACCATGAGTTCCTCCCAAGGTATTCCTAGACCCAGGGAAGAGGGAAGAGGCCCAGGGAGCCCGGGCATAGTTTCCTGGGAGTTGCAAAGTCACAGCATCTTAGCTCTAGCATCTTTGGTAATCAAGGCAGGTTGCTCTGGCAACCCTCAGGCCGCAGGAACAGAGAGACATGGCCTGGCCAACAGGCACGCATCGGCCGACCTAAGTCCCCCTCTTCCCCGAAGCACCGCTGGGGTACCGGGAGATCTCCCGGGCCACACCCCAGCCAGCCTCTTGCCAGCACAATGAAGAGACGGGGGTGGGGGGACAGGCAGGGTTAGGCCTCGTTCCGTGACCGTCAAGCTTCCCTCCTGGAGTAGCAAACTCAGAGGTCAGCAGCTCCCCCCCATATTTCACAGAAAAGGGAGACAAGACTCACCCTAGAAAGGGTCTTCCCAAGGCCACATGGTAGGTTGGTGACTTGGTGACAGAGAGAGATGCGGATCCAGATCTCCTTGGAAGGCCCCAGCAGCCTCCTCACGCTGCAGGACAGGCCCCATGCCTGCCCCATTACAGCTGCCCGAGCAGAGCCTCTGAGACGCCGCGAGTCACCCAGGGGCGGGAGACCCGGGCTGCGGTCCCACGTGCCACTGGCTGCAGTGACCAGAACAAGCCACTTCTTCTCTTTCAGCCTTGGTTTCCTCAGCTGCACCGCGAGGGGCTGAGCTAAAGGCCTGTGCCAGGTGGTGCCGGAGCAGACCCTGCATGAGCAAACGGGAGAGTGCCTTCCCGTAACGCTGTGTTTATGCACACTGGAATTTGAATAGCACATAATTTTCACGTGTCAAGAAATATTATCTTTCTTCTTTTCATTTTTCTTTAACTGTTTAAAAATGTAGAAACCACTCTTAGCTCTCAGATGGTCCAGGTGCAGTTGGCAGGCAGGGTCTGGCTTGAGCGCCGTAATTGACCGGAAGGTGCGTGAACTTGCCCAGCCCTCTCCCACCCTCCAACCTTTCGTCGTTGCTTCACTGCTCAAATCTCACACAGCCACCAAGCCCAGTGTAAATGCCACCTCCTCCAGCAAGCCATTTTTACCCTTGGTCCAAGTTAGAATCTCCCACCAAAGAACTGTACCCTGTATAGCACTTACCACTTACTGATGTGCATATGTGTGTATGCGTGTGCGTGTGTGTGTATGCGTATGCATGTGTGTGTGTGTATGTATGCGTGTGTGTGTATGCATGTGCGTGTGTGTGTGTGTGCCTGTGTGAGAGAGCTCCCTGCTTTGCCCAGGCCTGTGCCATCCAGTGCAGCAGCCACTAGCCACATGTGCCTCTTGAGCACTTGAAATGTGGCCAGTACAATCTGAGATGTGGTATAAGTGAAATCACACACAAAATGTTAAGACTTAGAACAGAGAAAAAAAGGAATATAAAATATGTCATTACGGAATTTTATTTCAATTACATTAAAATGACAAGATATTAGGTTAAATAAAATATATTATTAACATTAATTTTATCTGTTTCTTTTTACTTCTTTTAATGTGCCTACTAGACAATTAATTGGCAATTAAATAAGTGGCTCGCATCGTGTTTATATTGGACGGCGCTACACCAGGCTGTGGGTCTGACAGTGGCCGCGCGGGGTTCACTGCGGTTGCCCCGATGTCCAGTGCACAGAGCAGGGCGGGAGGAGCAGACACAGGGACGTTTGAGGACTTGCCTGTGCCTGACACTGTGCTACGTCTCGTCCATCTCGTTTCATCTTCCCGGCAGCCCTGCAGCGGGGATGGGCGGTGTGGCCGAGAGGTGGGGAGTAGGAGGGCTCATTTGGGCCCCCGGGTTTGGGTCAGGGTGAGGGGACAGGCAGAGTCCCCTCTGTCTTGCGTGTCCTGAGTTTCTGGGCAGAGAGACACCACCCTCCTGCCCTCGCTTTTCATACTTCCTGGTTTGCCTGGTTTCCACAGCCACACACCCGGCCTGGTGGCCTTCACGGCCTCAGTAGTGTGGTGGCTTTCGGAGAAGGGCTCCTGAGTCAGGCGGCTGGGGTTGCTGGCAGGCAGGGACCCGGGCTCTGGTCTCAAAGTCCCTGGTTCCATGGGTGCAGTCACCTAGGGGCCCACCCTTAGCCCTGGGAGCGGCCAGCCTCTGCTCCAGAAAGTGGCCACGAGGTGGCGCTGTTCCCACAGCGGTCCCCTCTGCCCCGCGGCCAGGCCTCAGGTCCCACCTGCATCCAACAAAAACATTCCAGCGTTCCGAAGAGGTTTCCCCGGACTGGTTTTTAAATTTCTTTCTCTGTATTCTGCTATGAAAAATGGTCACCTCTGAGTACACACTTAAAAGTCAAGCAGGTTATAACCCTGCAAAGGAATTCTGAGCCTAGGCCCCGGTGGACGCCCAACACGTACTGGCAGGAATGCGCACACGCTAAGCAGGGAGCACGTGGGTGCCCGCGTGTGCAGATATGCAGGCCAGAGCAGAACGGCGTTACAGATTATTTAGCAGGGTTTTGTTTTTCCTTTTCATTTTAGCCGCAGGAATTTTCATGTTTTTAGAAGCCAAATATGTAAAATAAGGGAAAAAAATTAAAAATATATGGCTGCTCTGGTTGGGGGGTGGGGTGGGTAGAAGAATCTCTTTCCAGAGAAGGGTTTTCTGGAGCATAGTTTGAAAATGACCCATCTAGTGCTACTGGCTTATTTCAAAGGAGAACACGCTGCGCCTCAGAGGGAAGGAACTCGTTCACGATCGCCTCCTAGTGGGAAATGTTTGCATTCTGCGTGAAGGTCCCAAAAGGCAGGTGTTTCCACTGAGAAATAAAAATAGCTTTTGTTTTCTCTGACATATGTCCAGATTCTATTCAAATGATGGTGACCCGGGGCAGGGTGGCAGTCCTGCATGACACTGCTTCCCAGCTCTGTGCACTTCAAGCCCTTTCAGCGTCTGTCGTCCCGAACGATCCCACAATATCCTTGCGAGACTGGTGGGAAAGCGGATGCCCCGTGTACCCGGGGAGGAGCCAAGACACAGACGAGACTGGACTTGCACTAGAGCACACAGGGAGTGAGTGTCAGTAAGAAATAAAATAAAAGACTAGCACCCAAGACTCTGGTGACAATTCTACACCACCACAGTCTAGAGCTAAGTTTATGCTAGGCTTGGGGAAAACATTTTAAAAAAAGAGGAGGCTGTTAGTTACTGGTGTTCAAGTGCTGAAAAAGAAGAGTGAAAACAGAGACTCTTGTCCTTAAGAACAGGACCTTCCTTGCCTTCTTCATTTTTATAATACAGCTCCAGGGCGAGCAGAATAGCTGGTATACTGGAGGCCTCTGAACAGTCATTGAATGAATAAATAAATGTGACATAAATACATAAATAAATATATTTAGTTTCTGGGACAAGTAATTAAAATTCTGCTCAAGTTAATACCATTTCCATAACCCACCCAGACAGAAACTCTTGGCAGATGTCTGCAGAGGAGGGTGGCTGATCTTTCTCTCCCGTATTTCTGAAGAGTTACCCTCTGGGAGATGGCAAGCTTCAAAAAGTGCTGGATTCCTGCAGCATTTTTATGGTTCAAATCTTTCCCTTAGTTAATATTTTCTTCCCACCTACTAAGGATTGCTGTTCATTAGGTCTTCAGGGGTGTGCAATAGACAAGTCAGTATATTTAATAACATAATAATTTGGAACTGAGACATAAAAAAATTTTTATAATAGAGACAAGGTCTCCCTTTGTCACCCAGGCTGGAGTACAGTAGCACAATCATAGCCTTGAACTCTTGGGCTCAAGCAATCCTCCTGCATCAGCTTTCTGAGTAGCTAGGACTACAGGCACACACCACTACACCCAGCTTATTTTATTTCATTTTTTGTAAAGATGGGGTTTCCCTATATTGCCCAGGCTGGTCTTGAATACCTGGGCTCAAGCAATCCTCCACCTTGGTCTCCCAAAGTGCTGGAACTACAGGCATGAGCCACTATGCAGAGCCAAAATGAGAATATTTAACCCTTTGTACTCGCTTGCTTTTTTTCTCATCATCCACTCGACATTATCCACACTCAACATCTGAATGCAAAGGGTTAAAAGTAGCCATATGATCTTGAACAAGTACTGTTTAGTATCGTATAAATATAATATAGTAGAGTAAAGTGGAGGTGGGCAAGAGGAGAAGCAATGGTTAGCAATTCAATGCTGCAACAATTTACTAAACCCTAACACACTAAAAACAAGTGCTAGGTAAGTGTGAAAACAAGGATGAGTGAGACAAGCCAGTGGACCTCGATGGATAACTGGGACACGACAAGGATATAAATAACTACAAAGAAATGTTACAAGCCACCCATGCAGAACCACTAACGGTTTGGTATGCCTCCTGGTTTCCTTCCATAATCAAACTCACTCTCTTTACACATACAGTGCATCTTTTTCCTCACTACAAAAGTGGAATCATGATATATACATAGTTTTCTACAATCTTTCCATATCGACACATGGTGAGTGACTTCATTCATTCTAAAGACTTTCCATGCCAATTCATCCTTCAAATACTTCCTGTGTTCACCATGTACCAGACATGCTAGCTGTCATCTTTCAGGGAACAAAACATAGTCTCTGCTCTCAGGTATCTTATACTGTATGAATGTGCCATAATTCAGTCATTTCTCTGTTGCTGGACATTTCAGTTGTAATGCTTTTTCAGTTGGTGATGGAAGCTAAGATTCATTGAGCACCTACTATGGGCCAGGAACTATGAGACGCATTTTATGTGGATTATTCCATTTAATCTTTGTAAACTAGCCTACTGTTGTAGATCTATTATAGGTGAGGAAAGGGAGGATAAGGGTTTAATAATTTACTCAAGTCTCACACTCAGGCAGTCTGACTTCAGGGCCCAGACTCTTTCGCCAGTAGGAACTACAATGAATGTATTTGTTCATAATTATTTTTACACTTACACAAATATTTCTGAAGAATAGATTCGTGGAATTAGTGTGTCAAAGGGTATGCAAATATTTTTCAATATGTTCAGAAAGAAATTAAAAGACCAGTTTTGTACGGTTGAAAGCTCATTTTTGTGGCCGACTGGCCCTGTGCTGTCCAATAGGGCAGCCACCAGCCAGACGTGGCCACTGCACCTTTGACATGTGGTGAGTCCGAATTGAGATGTGCTCAAAGTATAAAACACACATAGGGCTTTGAAGACAGTATAAAAACAAAGAAAAAGGAATGCAAAATATCTCACCAATAATTTTTACATCGATTACATATTGAAATGATAGTATTCTAGATCCATTACGTTAAATAAAATATATAATTAAAATTGATTGTGACTGTTTTATTTTTCATGTAATGTGACTACTAGAAAATTTACGATTATATTTGTGTTGCATGATGCTGGATTAGAGACTGGAGCCAAAGGGACGAGAAGCTGGAGACCCCTTTGGAAGAATCCAGGAAGCAGATGATGCAGACAGGCTTGGAGCAGAGGGGCTGCCCCAGCCAGCCAGTGGGGTTTTGAGCCTGGTGCCCAGGAAGATGGTGGATGTCAGATTCCTGGTTCCCTACCTCTGCAACACCAACACTACTACCTTTTTTTCCTTCTCAGGTCCCTTCCTCCAAGCGGAAGCCACCGTCCCCACCTGCAAGGCTTGGCCAATTTCCCAGTTTCCAAGTCCATCCTTGACCCAAAGCAATGTATGACAAAGCCAGCCCAGCTACCAGGAATTTGGCCCCTAGTTGCCTTCCCCCTGGCTCCCTGCCTTTTATTTAACCATTTCAGAAATGTATTTTCTCTAGGTCACTCAACTGCGCTTCTGCTGTGGTGTCTGGCCCCGAACTGCCTCTAGTCCCAGTCCCTGGAGGCCTGTGTCCCCTGCAGTCCCTCCTCCCTGTACTTCCCGGGAGACTCGCCCAGTGTGAGATGTCACTGCTGGGCTATGTCCTCCTATCATCTGAGTTTTGCCTGCCCGAAAAAGAGAAAATGCAAACAAGAAACGTGGGCTCCTTGGAATCAGCAGTGAGGGAGAGAGAATGTCCCCTTCTGCTTTCAGGAATTTTCTATTCCCTGTTGCCCTCTCCTTAAGGTGACCCCCTGGCCCAGGCCCCTCAACCCTCAGAGACCTGGGGCTCCCCTCTGGCCTCCAGAGACAGGCCCCAGGGGAACCCTGAGAAAGACCTAAAAACAGAAAAGGCCACCTTGATCCAAACGTGG